AGAGAGTGAGGCAGTGAGTCCTTAACTCCTTCTCACAGGGCGAGCACTTCACCACGGCATTTAGGATCTGCCAGGCAATGTGCCAGGTGTTTATAGGTTTCTTTTGTTCTCAAGGGGCAGTCAAGTCCCCTCTGCCTGCCCCCAGTGCTAGTATTAGGTTTCTCCCCCAGTGAGCTCAGGGATCTCTAGGACTGAGATACTGCCTACCTTCTTGCGTATGTAGTTAAAGGGGTCTGCATGTCCTGACACTGTCTAAGCCTGTAAAAGAACATATTACCTCACTCGATCTCTCTGGGTCCTGACTCCAGAGCCCTTGCATGCCTTGTCTGACGTCATTATTCCCTCCAATTTTCACAACTGCCCCTTAGGATCCATTTGGTTGTGGGGCTGGCTCCCACACATTGTGAGGAAGCCATTGGCCTGGATCATTTTGAAAATCCACGGGAAAGATCAGATTCAAGTAAAGCAACATCGCACTCTAGATAACGAGACCAAGTGCGATGACTGGACGATCACATGTGCGCGGGTGCAGCCCGTGGATCGCCAAGGGCTGAAGGAGGTGGCTCAAAGGGTAGATCTCCATCAGCTCCCAGGTCTACGTCCTCACGAATCGCCCTACATTCCACCGCTCCTTACAAACAGTGTCGATTTCATCAGTTCCAAACGGACTCCGGGAAACTATTCAACCATCACCTATCCTGCCCTGGCCAAGTGGAACAAGAATGGCTATGGCCGAATCGCGAACGCCCATGAAACCGCAATGGTTTTTCTTGGGCCACTATGTCTATTTCAAGAACGTCTCTGTATGCGTCTGAAGAAAATTATACTCGAAGACGAGCTGTCGCAGAACCTGTTTTAACATCCTTCTACAGAAACAGACTTGTAGCCAGGCAGGTAACTATTCTCAGTGCCCTTTGCCATGAGGTGGGTCTATGAGACTGTGTTTGCTCAAGAAAAATGATAGAGGGATTGAGTAACAGCATTATTTTCATCTACTAGAGATTTAAACACTGAACTAGTTTTAAACATTTAAACTAGTTTCTTTCCTCTTTCAGTCACTTGGATAAGTTGTATTCCTGACCACTGTCCTATCCAAAATCCTCATTCATCTTTTCAGTTGTATAGAGCCATTTATATATATCCTACACCCTGGCTTTCATTTGATAAACTGGGTCTCTAAGCACAAGCTTGGGAACGCTTGGAACGCTCCGCTTCATTGAGCTGGTAGAACTCTTGCTAGGCCTAATGAGAATGAAATTGCTCCATCAGTGTTCAATGTAAAACATTCACTCCTGTCCTGAAAAGCTTATCCATAACTCTCTCATTTAACGTTAACCACGGTGCCTGAAAAAGACTCCACTTTATTCCCAAATCAATGCGCTTGAATTCATATCCTCCACTTCTACTGCAGCTGATTTTATCCACTCCTCTGTCCCAATCCACAATTGCTTCGCGGTTAAGATGTAAGAGTTTTGCGCCCTGAAAATCAGTTTCCAGCTTCATCCCTCCCCTAGGAGGACAATGTCAAGAGCAGTCACTCTCTGTACTCCCACTCCAATACGTAATTCATGCCAACAGATGGATGATTTTCACATCCCAAGCGTGGGATCTCGCCAACCAATCCTAGGTCTTATTTGAATTTACCCCAGGGGATATTTAAAATATCCTTCTGAAACAGAGTACAAGATTCTCCTCTGCCTGGCTTCATAGATTATATATATGTATATATATACACACACACACAAACATACATACACACACACACACACACATATATATATGTATTCAAAAAGGTTTCCTCAGGCCTAGCAAGGGCACATCCTAAACTGAAAATGCAAGTCTTCCCAAGAACGCTCACCGAAACCCAGCAAACCCATGAGAAACAGCTTATGGGGAGCAGCGAACGGGAAGAGCGTGTACACGGATGAATCCTGTCGTCTCTATATTAAGGAGCCTGGCAGGCTGGAGCACATGCTGGCCTGTCAGCATGCTTGTTGGCTTACTGCGATATAGCAGCAGCTTTAACTATAGAAGCAGACATGATCCTTTTGTTCGCTCTTCCCCCCGTGACTCCCAGCCCCCTTGAACCTTCCCCGAATGCAGGCATTAGGTTTCCTCACCTGTGAGCTCAGGGACCTTACTGTAGATACCACTCACCTTGTGACGCATGTCACTACTGAAAATGCATGTCTTGTGGCTACCTGCACATGTCCCATGATAGTAAAGGTTCGCTCTCACTTCTCCCAGTTCCACGTGGTCCATCAAGGGGGCGGAGGTGAGCGTGCGACCATAACGTGTGTCTGACTCCTTTATTTCATTCTCTCTCCTTTCTTATGCGCGATGACTTTACTATCGTCTTTACGTATGATCGCAGTACATTTGCGCCTACAGGCCCTTCGGTTGTTGGAGGCTGGTTTCCCCTGACAACAGCTTCCTTGGTGGGGGAGGGACATGGGGTGGGGCATGGAGGTAAAAGGAGTTCCTTTTATTTCAAACCCACACGTAGGAGGGGCCTCGCCGGCAGAATTCATGTTGGGTTGCCCTGGCTCTGGGGACGGCCATGAACTCACCATGGATCACATGAGGTGCAAACAGTAGTAACAGAATCCACCAGACAGGGCCAGGCCCTCAGGGCCGGTCACTCAAAGTACCCTGAGAGGGGATGTCAGCAGGGGTTGTTAATGTCATAAGGAGGAAGGGGGGGGGGGCGGTTGACGGGGACAATAAAAACCAAAACAAGGAAACATCAAACGGTAAGTCACAGGGAACGCAAAGTGAACTGTAGCGGGGGAGTATCTTGGGGAGAAGAGTTGGCAGTGAGTGAGGATTCTGAGGAACGTGGTACCCGCAGAATACAGGTGAGACCGGCTGCCAATGGCTGTCTGAGGGATCACAGAGCAAGACGGAGAGAAAAGGAACAGGAAGCGGGTGATAGGCAGCAGTTCTGGAAGGAGGCAGGTCCAGGAATACAGAGAGAACCAAAGATCAGGGGGGCATGAGTAGAATAAAAGGGTGAGGGAAGGCTGGCATGCCTGCCAGTGCCGAATGAGAGCTGCTCTCCTACGGAAGAACCACTCAAAGAGGAGAGTCAATATGACACGAGGACCCGAATGGGCGTGGCGATTAGGTATCTGAGGGGACCTGCCCTAACAGTTCCCAGGGTGCATTGCCTTCTGTCGCTCGGTGCTGCTGAGTGGATTCCAACGCATGGTCACTTCATGTCTGCAAAGCAGAACGGCTCTAGAAGGGGCTTCGAAGCTACGACCTTTGGAAGCGGGTCGCCAGACTCACTTTCTGAAGAGCCCCTGGGTGGGTTCGAACTGGCAATCATTCAGTTAGTCGTTGAGCGCTCAACTGTTTGTGCCACCCAGGGACCTTCTTACCCTCTGGTTTGCTGACTGTCAAGTCAAAGCCATGCCAGCAAAAGCTCAGGCTGACTCCTGCATCTCCTGTCTGCCCCCCGCAACAGCTACTCACCTTGGCAGCTCCACTGTGGGAGGTCAGTGTCCACCGTCCATGGCTCCTGTCCCTCCTCCAACCTGAAGATGACCTCTGGTTTGGGAAACTCAAACCCTGTTCATGGAAAGGGGGAACCAATCACAGTGATCTACATAGAACCCTCTCCCAGGGAGACGGACAGACAACAGGAAAGTGGATGAAGGGAGGCATCAATCAGTGTAAGGCATGTAAAAATAATAATTTATAAATGATCAAGGGTTCATGAGGGAGGGAAGGGGAAAAATGAGGAGCTGATACCAAGGGCTCAAGTAGAAAGATAATGTTTTTAAAATGATGATGGCAACAAACGTACAAATATGCTCGAAACACTGGATGGATTTATAGATTGTATTAAGAGCTGTACAGTGAACCCTCGCTACTTTGCGCTCCGACTTCCGCGGCTTCACTCTATCGCGGTTTTTGCGTAACAGCGCATGCTCTGTCATTACTGCCACTGATTGGCTCATACTGTACACGCTTGATGCCATAAATAATATAATAAATAATCAATGATAATTGTAACGTCCAAAATGTTTTACTGTATTTTCCCTTTTTCGTTTAATAAATTGGGTAATACGAGTGTAATGGTGACTAAAGGGTGTTTTTTCATGTCCTCTATGCTCTAACTACGAAAATATTTGATTTACAAATAAGGAATCCTACTTCGCGGACTTTCATTTATCACGGTAGGGTCTAGAACCGATGAACCGCGATAAACGAGGGTTCACTGTATGTGCCCCCAATAAAATGATTAAAAAAACAACAACAAAAAACCCAGTTCATGAAGAACAGATACCAGATTTGGATATAACATCTTGGGGTGTGGGAAACAGACCCAGGAAGAGAGTGTATACAGGCAAACTCCCTACACTCATATTTTGTGTGTGTGTATAAGAAAAATACTTATATCAAAGAGCAATTTTATATTGCAAAAACATCTCAACCCAGTCCAGATCAATCCACAAGTCCGATACTAGCCCATAAGTCTAATACTAGTCCATAGATTCCTCTTCAGACTCACACAGCACATGCAATGATGCTGAATGCGAGAAGATCGCAGGCCACTGGGTGCAAAGTCTTGTGGATCCAGTGATGGTGGAAGCATCTCCAGGGCTCTGGCAGGCCTCGCATGGCTCCTCATCAGGAAGGTGAAGCAGAGAGAACGCCTCACCTCCCTCAGCTCCTCGTGGTGGTACGCATGAAAATGGGAGACCAGAGAGCAGGAGCGAGCGAGAGAGCCCCTACGCTCATATTTTAAGGAGTCTGGGAGGCCAAGACTCTCCTAGAGGGAGGCCTTCAGGCTTGTGAGTTGGAGATGCATCTCAGTCACATTCTTCTAAGTGCATGTTCCCCACAAGGTCCCCTGTAATAATGTCAATCTTAAGGTGCTGCCTAAGCACGTGGTTGCTACTGTATAGGCTTGAAGGTTATCTGCCATCAAAAGCCATCAGAACATCTAACCCTAAGTAGGGCCCACTCCCTTCTGATTAGGGTCATAGATTGTTCCCCTGGAGAAGAGCTCAGGAGCACTTAAGGTCAGGCCAGTTCAGAGATGACCAAGGTTAGGCCGCCATCTAAGTTGTAGAACCTGCCCTTCTTGTTAAGTATCTGACTTTCCTGTCACATGTATACCTCTAGTACCTCCCCTTCGTCTTGGGTGCATACCTCTAGCTCATCCACTTCCTGTTGCATGTATGCCTCTAATACAACCCCTTCCTGTTACATACGTGTGTGATGTGGCTTGCATGCCTGAGATTATATAAGCTTGTGAGAGAATGCATTTCCCCCACTCACTCTGGTTCTAGTGAGTGGTAAGAGGTGAGCACTTGCATCCATGGGAGAGGTGAGCACGCACACCCTGTGGTGATTACATAATCTGTTGTCCATTTGAGACTTATGAGTGAAGGGGTGGAGTTTAGCCTGTCAATCAGGTCACAGCTTGATGACCTCATTTGGAGGCACTAAGGAAATAAACAGCTTGCTGGAGTCGGGACACACGCTTATCCCCTTGGCGACTCTACTGACAAGACTTAATCCCTGTGAGACATTTCTGCAGACAAGACACATGGAGCTACACTAGAGCCCTGGAGCTGAAGGAGCCACGTGGTGACCCCTGCCAGCGCTGAGATACCTCTAACACCACTGGATCCACTAGACTTTCCACCCACTGGCCTGTGATCTTCCTGCATTCAGGGTCATTGCATGTGTTTCGTGAGCCGGAAGGGGACTTTAAAGATTGGTATCGGACATATGGGCTAATATCGGACTTATGGACTCAATCTAGACTGGGTTGTGATGTTTTCTCAATATTCAATTGCTCTTGTATATAAAGCTCTTTCTTTTTTATCTTTTTTTTTTTTAATAAAGTTCTCTCTTATACACGAGTATCTATGAATTTGCTTCTCTAGTCCACCCAGACTCACACACATGCCTTGTCTGCTGTTCCTTTAATTTATCCTCCGATTACACAACTGCCCCTTGGCCCCATTCAGTTGTGGAGGCTGGTCCCCCACAGTGGGGTTTGGGACAGGCCATTCCGTGTGCTTTCCATGTGTGCTCATCAGAAAAGTCAACATCGTTCCCTGGGAACAAAGGTGCCTGAACGGAAGGGACACCCTAGGACACGAAGATCGAGTACAGACGCCCCACGTGCGTGCCACAGGAGATGGAAGTCCTTCTCCATGAGGCCCACCCAGCATCCCGGGCACCTGTGCTCACCCAAGGAGATAAAGTGGCTATAGTTCTCCAGCGTCACTTCCTGGTACAGGTGTCTCTGGACAGGGTCCAGCTGCTGCCACTCCTCTCTGCTGAAGGTCACGGTGACGTCCTCAAATGACACGGGTTCCTTCAAAACCAAAACACATCCTGCTCAATATCCAGTGACCGCCACTGTGGAAAGGAAGGCTACTCATGGAGACGCTGATAACAGCTTTGCCCCAGGATGCGGGAGCCCTGTGGGGTCGTGGTTAATGTGTTGGGTTGCGATTCCCATGGTTGGCAGTTCGAAACCATCAACAGCTGCGAAGGAGAAAGACGGGGCATTCTGAGCCCGTGTCAACAGCAACAGTCTCGGAAACCCACAGGGGTCGCTGTGAGGCACTATCAACTTTGGGTTTTGGGGTTGGTTTTTTGGGGGGGCGCCGCCATGACGCCTCCCATAGTTGTTCGCTGTTGTTGAGTCAGTCTTGTGCATCACGGAACGAAAAGCCACCCAGTCCTGTGCCGTCCCCAAGACCAACTGAGGATCGGACCACTGTGAGCCACCCACGGGGTTTTCAGTGGCCAGTGGTCTCAAGGGGATGGCTAGGTGTTCTTCCCACCTGGGTGTAGAAGCTCTGCCCACCGTGTGCTGCATCAGAGCAACACCCACGCCTCTGCCGATGGGCAGATGCTGGCACATTTGGGATGGAACGGCCAGGACATGAACCCAGGCCTCCCCCATGGAAGGTGAGAAATTCTACTGCTTTCTGCACCAGGGAGCGTCCCCACTCAATAACCATTTCATACTGTGCTTTGGGGCATGAAACCAACCAACCGACAGACACATTTATTTCTATATCCTACCATGTGTGGCAGTTACATAATATACTGTCAACGTGAGCGAAGGGGTGGAATCTAGTCTGTCAAGCAGGTCGCAGCTTGATGACCTCATCTGGAGGTGGCACACGGAGATAAATAGCTCACTGGAGGCCAGACCCAGTCTCTCTGCCTTCCCTTTCCTGCTGTGGAGACACTCAGAGAGCTGGAGGAGACACGTGGAGACCCACGCCAGCATAGGGATATTTCCGCTGCCACTGGATCCACAAGATCTTCTATCCACTGGCCTGTGATCCTCCTGTATTTGGCATCATTGCATGTGCTGCGTGAATCTACAGAGGGATTTAGGGACTAGTATCGGACATATGGGCCAATATCGGACTTTGATCTGGACTGAGCTGGGATGTTTTCTTGATATACAATTATTCTTGGATATAAAACTCGCTTACACACAGTAAGTGTCAATGGATGTTTCTCTAG